CAAAGTGATGGGCTCCTGCTCTTAGAAATCAGCTCTATTGACAAAATTAGTTAGGTGACTTCTCCACAATTCCTAGTCGAAAAGAAAAATATATTTCAGTCCTCCCGTTGTTCACTTGAAAACCCTGCTCGACTTAACACTATTATATTGCCCTTTTTGAGACCATTATTTGGAAAATTTCTCCTCTTTATCAGATCAAAACGACTCAAACACCATACCATGTCTTTGTAGCTTTTCCGAATCTAACGTACCCCCGTGGGTTCTGTTGTCCCCTTTCCATCTAGTATGTGAAGCTCTTCAGTGTTTTATTTTTTGTATTCGAAAGCATACACGCTTTCAAAACGTGTTGTCCAAATATTACTCTAGAGAAACGCAGTTTCAAAACGTTACGTTGGGTTGTAATCTTTCTGGCTGCTCTAATTTCGCTAGCACGCCTTGCGTGCCTATAATCAGAAAGCGGTTGAGTTGTTACAGTGTATGCGCTCCATAAACACGACCACGTGCAACAGACGTTCTCTTGACAAGATGGCGTCGTTGGAGAAAGAGTATTTTTGGGGTAAGATGTCTTTCCTGAGGCATTTCGGCGTTCAGTGCAGTATGTTTATCTCAGATCTTTTGTAGGTTGTGAATTGAGCAAAGATAAGAAGGAATATAAGTGGGATTCGGAAGATGAAGAACTTAGCAAAACAGACATCGAGCAGAAGCTTGTCGTAACCCAGGTACACATTAATTATCATAGCATGTGCACGTGTTTATTTTCAAGCTTTTAAATACCCAACTAGTTATATTTCATTCTAATTAAAAAAGAGTATTTTAGATTTGTAACTACTGTGGAAGCGGGTTCTATGTTCAGATAGCACGTAGCTTACTTTTCAGCTGTAGAGATCGACGTGAGGCGATCTGCAATAATCGAACTTAGACTTCCTGTGAGCAAGCAAACATTGAGATTTGGACAACTGTACTGTCTACACTTGGTTGATGTTCTGTGTATTTCATTAATCCTAATCAGAGCTGCCGCCTGTGTTTTTTTTTTGTTTTTTTTTTTTTCAGGCATGTCTTGGTGCAAAAGCCAAACCTAACGAAAGAAATCTTGTACAAGTCACCACAACAGACAGTAGTGATAACTCAGTGACATTCACCATTCTATCATTGGCTTCTGGAAGAAAAGACCAGGTAAATGTTAATCCTTTAACTCCAAAGATCTGATTTTCAATTCTCCCCTCTGGCTACTACACATTTCCTTGCAAATTGATTACAAGAATTAGGCTGTTCAATCAAGGTAATAAATTGTACCTGATGAGTTTGAGTATTCTTACTACCTGGTTGGATACTATAGTGAGAAGTTAAAGGGTTAAGAACCTGTATTCCTCATTCTCTTTCTTCTTTGGCATTATGAATTGTAAGATCACTACCTTAAAATTTGTCATGCATCTTGCGTCTTTGATGTCCATTAATTGAACTTATTTGATCAGTATTTAATGTGATTTAATGGAAATTGAGTACATACACTTACAATAATATGGACGATCCTCATTCCCATGTTAATTAGGCATTTAAAGTTAGAAAGTTCTCTCTCTTAATTTTGATTGCCTGGGCTATAATTATGTCTATTTAATTTTCTGATGTGAACATATTCCTCTGACTTGTACTTGACACTGTTCCCTTGCTACCATATTTCTGAATAAATGCCTCACTCTTGCAGCCTTCAGTTACTGAGATTCCAAAAGTTTTGACGTCAGCCTCTAGTTATTGAAATTCCAAAAGTTTTTATGTTCTTCAAAGTTTGAATATTAAACACCTAAGATTAATAACAGTTTCCTTTCAAGTTCAAAGAAGTTGGCTTGGAAAGATTGGTTAATTATTATTATTGTTTATTTTATATTCCTACTTATTTTATTTTTAGAGTAAGCTTAGTCTGGCATTTCCAGCATCAGTTGTTTTTAAGCTTATAGAAGGTAAGAATCTTTATCTAAATGTACAGGGCACTTTTCAGGGCTTTTTGGGTGCATACACATGGTCTGCATGATATAACAGAGCTGTAACATAAATGTGTTTCACTTCTCTCAAAAGTCTTAGGCGTACATTTAAATAACTTCATCTACATTTGAATGTAGATGAAAACTAGTTCCTTTTTTAATTTTGTTAAACGTGATTTAAGTGAGTTAACAACAAAGAGCATCAGCAGTTACAGTCTGCAGTTTTGTTATATATGCATGCATTGAAGTTCCACATGCTCCTTGTTTGAGGAATTCTTGCATGAGCATCTAGTGTGAATGTGCTGTGTTGTTTGGAGTGACAGCTCATCATCCAGGCAGTTTTTCCCACCCTTTCCCTTCCTCTTTCCACTGTTTATTCAGTGTGATGGGTGCCTGTTTCCCTTTCCTGTGTGGGGGCTTGTAGCTGGTTTGCCAGGATTTGCCAGTGATGGTAGCAGTCTCCATTTAAGAGCTGGCTGCCAATAATAGAAGCTCCTGGTACCCAACCTCAACTTAGCAATGCAATTGTTAATCAGAATTTGTATCTAAAATTCTTGATAAGCACCAACTGTTCTCACTCTAAATTAAACTAAAACTTAAACATGATAGACTATTCTATCTGTCTATCCAACTTCTATTACTCGGAACCTACAATTTATTTTACATTTTATTTGGAAGGGTATTTCAAAACCAATCTAATCATGTCCTAGCTAAAGAGAGCTTTTTTTTTTCTTTAGGCTCAGGACCAATTCACTTGACTGGTTCTGTATATCAAGGTAAGATGATCTTACCATGGTACTAAGACAAGTACACTATAATTTGCATTCGCATTTCCATTCTTTTTTTCTTTTTCAATCAAAGTTGCTTTGATGAATAGAATTTAGGTCAAGAAAACCCCTTCTTTCTAATTCAAAACTTATAAACATGCACACAAGTAAGGCAGTGTCATGCTTGATAAGGCCTGAGTACATGTCATCTTCAAAATTGTTTTCTACCTTTTTAATTTTGCAGAACTATTTATGGGGGATGACGATGAAGAAGAGAGCGGTGAAGGTATTTTGCTTTTAACTCTTCAACTCCCATAAGTGACCAAGATAGAATTTTTCCTTACAATATCAATACAATATCAAGCAGACTAGTGATGAGAATAAAGAAAAATATCAAATAGGGGATTATAAGTTGATCCAATACCAAATTCTCCAAACTAACATAACAAGAACTGTATGGCCAACAGAAAGGAGAATTAATAATGAGATCTTGGGAGTTAAAGGGTTAAATGTAAACCTTGAGCAAAACAGCAATGCCCTTTGCTTATCATAAATTAGAAAATTAATTCATAGACACATACTCTTTCCTTTGTTAGCTGTTGTTTGTCATCCTCATGACACTTTCTGTAAGTTTGTTTGGTATCAATTAATTTTTTTGTTGTTTTTGTTCATAGATGAGGATGAGGAATCTGAAGTAGTTTTATCAGAGGCTAAGGAGTCTGTGAAGGTAAATAAACTGGGGTGAACAAGTTTTCTAACTGTTATGTACATATTAATAATTGAGTTTCTATCCTGTTTATTGTTATTATTATTATTATTTTTTTTTTTGTCAGAAGAGACCACTAACAACACCTAAGGGACCACCAACAAAGATTGCTCGAGTTGAAGCTGGTTTGTGCTGCACATCATCTAAATGTCAGGGTTAGCATATTTGACTGGGGATTCAAAGGTCTTGTTTTGAAGATTTGATCCCTAAGAGTAACAAGAATTTAATTTTGCCTTAAAATATCACCTCAGAATTACACATTAATGTTACAAGGTAAAGAAAATGATCACCAAGTAAAGAAGCTCTTGATTGTTAAACACA